TATATATATATATGTACATATATATGTATATACAGATATATCCGTAAATTTTGATAAAGCGCTTGTGTGCAAATATATAATAGAACTAAATTGAGTAGAAAAGTTTTATATTATTTATTCTCATTTTGCATTTTTCGCAATAGTTAACAAAATATTAATTATTAAAAATCACTGAATATTTTCAAAATTTTTTCTCAAATATCAATTTTACAGAAAAACAGCGAGAGACAAAAATTGTTTTTTTTTCTTATAAAGTTCTGAGAATTTTTTCAGAATTTTTTAATGCCATATTTTCTTTGTTGCCCTAATGAGAAAATACAGTTATTTCTAAAAAGTTGATTATCTTGTTAACTAATGTGAAAATTGCAAAATGGTAGAGAATTTTTCAACTCAGTTTAATCCATTCTATCTACACACGAGCGCTTTGTCAAGACTTATCGGACATCCTGTATATATTGCGTGCGTGCGTATAAGTTACATTGACAAATCAACAAAATATACTTACAATTTTTTAAACTTTTATAAAATCAAGTACATATATAATTATAAAGTGTATATAATAGTCTCACACAATTATCGTATTTCCTCTTAAGAATGTATTCTTGAGGTAATTTTGAGACGAAAATCCTAATACAAAAATCGAGGCTACAATAATTTTTGAATTATAATTAATTAAAGATAGAGTGTAATTTGAAAATTATTATAGCCTCGATATTTTCGTATTAGGATTTTCATCTTGGAATGTTCAAAAGAATCCAGAAATGATAACAGAGGCTATAAAAGTAAAATGGTTTTTGATTTATAAGCATTTAAAATTATAATGAAAAAAATTATATTATTAAAATATTATTTAACAGTCTCGACATTTTCGTATTAGGATTTTTGTCTCAAAATTATCTCAAGAATACGTTCTTAAGAAGAAGTACATATATATATAATCATAATGTATATATAAAATTATAGAAAATAAAAATTGTAGTGTAGACTGGGGAATAAAATGCTATTTTTGGCATGTTTTGCTCTAAAACAAAGAATATTTAACTCACACAGATCATGCTGCTATTTATCGAAACTAGAGATCTTTAACTATAAAAAGTAATTATTTAAAGTAGGATTGCATCTGCAATTTTGATGAAATTAGGCTCATTCAATGCGTTTTTGCTCGAAACGAAAGAATCTATAAGAAAAAACGTTAGATCAGTTCCACAAATCAAGATATCAAGTATTAAAATTGACAATTATTTAAGTTAGGAAATCAACCTAATGTTTTTTCGTACATATTCTTTCATTTCAAGCAAAAATCCGTCAAATGAGTCTAATTTCAAAATCGGAGATGTAGTCCGTATTCGAAATAATTATCCAAAAGCATATACCCTTCATTAAAAAGATATTATAAAGGTTGCAGAGGAAATCATTCGGTATTTCTTGGAGAATATAAAATGGGAATACAATAAAACATAATCACTTATAACTAGGGTTAGTAGAACGTAGAGCAAGTCCATACGCAAAATGGTTGAAATTATTATTATTAATTAAATTATTATTTCGCACTTATAAATATGGCAAAATATGATGCAATAGCCAAGCTTACAGCTCTTAATGTGTTCATTGGTCGTTTATCGTGTTTTATTTTGTCGCGCGGCAAGCGTTTTCGCGTGTGCAGGGCCATAAGTCCATATGCGAAATAGATTTCAACCATTTCGTTTACGGACTTGCTCTACGTTCTACCCTAGCTACAAGTGATTGATCGATCAATATCGAATTAACACCGATCGACGTTGAATCAGTATCGATTTGACGTTGATCGAGCAATTATTTCTGGCCAGAAAACCAACTTACTTCCAACGTGTCTACAGCCTGTACTGAAATTAGTGCTGTTCATTGTACACGACGCTTAAAGCCCATTCTACAATGGTAGTAAGCAGTAGGAAGTAAGAAATTCTTATCTCATAATAAGTTTTGATTGGCTGGCAGTAAAGTAATAAGGCGTACGAAATGGAAATAATCCATTTCGCTTATTTCCGATCTTAATGCTTTACGCCATATTTTAAGCCTATTCTACACTGGGCAGTAGCAATAGTGGATTAAGGAGTAGGCGTAGAAATCAACCAAAATAGTCGAATGTAAGAAGGATAATCAACTATATTTAGTCGATTTTTACGCCTACTCTTTAATCCACTATTGCCCATTGTAGAATGGGCTTTATTCTTAATTGGTGAAGTTAGTCAATCAGCATTAGTCGTACAAGTTGACTATTGGTTAACTTCTGATAAGATTTAGAATTACTGATTATAGAAACAGAAGATTATAGATTACAGATCATAGATCAGATACAGATTATAGATCATTATAGAATCAGCATTAAAGATAAGAGCAATCTTGGCATTTTTTACTCCAATAATACAAAAGTAAACTTTGCGGCATTGTTATTAAAAAAGTATAATAGAAATAATCGTTTTAATAATACACTATCGTACACTATTAAAACAATAGAATAAAATTCATAAATATACTTTCTTATAATATTAATCTATCTAATTGTAAAAATGATCTCTTCAGACGAAAATAACTGCGACGCTAATATTTTACTTTTGACTCTCAAACGCATAGGCACGTCCGTGCTTTCTGACAGTTACCAGCGACAAGGAACTGTGTGGCGTGAGATTTCCACTCTTATTGTTAGTTGAATGGTATGGCAGAATTTTTTAATGAATCTGTTATTGGATGGACCTTTTTCTCCGAAGACCTTTACTCCCCAGTCTATTCTACTTTGTTTTATAAAAATTTTAAAAATTGTAAATGTATTTTTCTATAATAATTCTAACAATATATTTAAGTATTTTGTTGTCACATTATTATTTATTATATACAATTTTAATTCAATTTTTAATATTTATTTTATTAAATGACATCATTATTTTTACAAATAAATAACATTTTTATAATCCATTTTTTTATCTTAAGTGGAAGAAGCACGCAATTTGAATGTACACACACACACACACACACACACACACGCGCGCGCGCGCGCGCGCGCGTATAGCTGCGGACGCACATATATTCATCTTTGTTTTATTTATTTTTTTAAATATTTACATTTCTTTTCATGGACATACTTCTATCAGTACAGTATGAATTTTTTCATAAATGAATTATATGTTTCTGTTTTAGGATATGCAAAATTTAATTTTGTTGATGTTAAAAGTCAATTCTATGGAACGTCCGTATATATATAGTGTAATAGAAAGTGTGCACGATACTATCGCCAAATTGAAAGCATAGTCACATATCATATTATGACGTAAGATATTGCAATGACTAAATCACACGTTTAGGAAAAATATATGTAACATTCAATTGTTATGTACAAGAAAGCAGATATAAAATGCAATTGTGTACAGTATTACACTGCCTATAAGCAGTATAAAAGATATTATGAAACGCAATACATAGCAAATGTAAAAAAATATTTCAAATGATTAAGTAAAAAAATAAGAATAAAAATAGTAATGAGAAGAATGAAGCATCATTTATAAAATTTTTGATAAGAGGAAAAAAATGAAAATACATTCCTTATATTGTATAATGTATGTTTACAATATAATCATTTAATGTAGAAGTAACATAAGTAAAAATAATATTTTAATAGTATGTGCAGTTTTATATATACTATATTATATATACTATATTATAATAAGAGGAGAGAGAGCGAGAGAGAAAGAGAGAGATGTGCATGTATATACTAAACATTTTTAACTTAGGGAAAGTTGTACAGTCGCGAACAGTGAGTTTGTGATACTTTTTATTTCGATGATTTACGGAAGACGCAAAAAATTTCGCACGATTCATCATCTATTAATTATTAATGCGTGCAACGAGTGATAATGGGATAAACTATCAAAGTCATACAAAATCAAAGTACAAGGTGAAATCAAGAAATGTATCTTGTGTTGTTGAGACATACACTTAAGATATTATAATTAGATAAGCTAAATATAAAAGAGTAAGCCAAATAGACAATTTTGTTTGAGAAATTTATTTACATTTCCAATCCTTTAAATATTAATATAAAATAACATAAGAAAACGTGAAATAAAATTATATGTATATTATATGTATAAATAGAAATATAATATTTGATTGGACTCTCTGGTATATAACTAACAATTTAAACTCGCTTGCTACGAGCAAATGAGAGTAATATTGCGCCAAATTAATAATTTAATTTATTTCTAATATATATAAATTGTTTGTTCGTATATGATTCTGTTACGTATGACTTAATTATTTGAATGGTTCGGTTCCTTCCAAGCCATCTTCAGCAAAATAATTTAAAGTGTTTAAAGTGTATTCGTCGACAAAGTTTTCATAGGTAAATGCCGGATAAACCTCTTCCAACTTCCTGATTGGAACGATGTAACTTTCTTGAACGCTAACAGTAATATCTTTTGTTTAGTGAAATAATTGTCTATTAATTGTGAAGTATTGATTGAGACTCACCCTTTGTCCATGTACATTTGTGTTCATCCTCAATTTCAATATTATTCTTGGTCAGATCTTTAATTTGATAAAATTCGCAGCATCAAGTTTTATCATATTTCTGACCGATTTCTAGCAGACTTCAGATAGTAATGAGGGAAAGGGTCAGACCGTTTATGGATCTGTCTTATGAATATAATAAATAAATAAACATTCGCGCATTTGTTATTATATTACTTTGTTTCGGAATTATGTTCTTTTTTAAAACTTATACTTAATTTACTATTTTAAAACTTAGATTTTTATATGATAGAAGATGTAAACTTTCCGAGTATTTCTGAATATTTCTGAAAAATGTTCCAATTAGTATAAAAATTATAAGAAAAATTTTCACCAGGGATATGTCAAAAAATTTCATACTATAGTATTAATAAGTTGAATCAGTTCATCAAAGTACATAAAGATCCTCTTTCAAAATTGTCCAAAAAGAAATGTTACATAAAATCAATTCTAAGGATTGCGATGCATTTTATGTTGGTTAGACGGTTAGAAAGTTAATGACAAGACTCGGAACACCAAAATCATATTCGCAAAAACAACGGTTGGGGATGCCTTCATGCTCTCGAATGGTTGTTTGCTCCATTAGGCTTTCAACGGATCGGTCCTGCTCATTATCGGTAGCTTTTCTAGCGCGCGTTTCCTCGGCGCCTTCCTCTCGATTTGCGATCGTTTCACTCTCTCTCCCATCTTCTCTGCTCGTCGGAGCTCCTTCTGGACACCTTCCCGCTACAGTTCTCGATTCGAGATGCCCGAATAATACAAAAAAATCAACCGAGATTATAATTTTGGCCTATCTGACAAATGCAGCCTTGATCGGAGGTTCTCGAACATTCGCCTCTTCCCGGCCTTACTCCTCGCGCGATTTCACGCTTTGTGACGACGGAGGGTCGTTGCGGCAATCCTGTCACATCACAACTCCCTCGCGCCAAGAGAGAGCCCATCGGGTTAGATTGTCTCCCCTTCAGCCGGTCGCATCTGGAGCAAAATCTTGGTGCGATCGAGATCCCATGTAAGAGACCCCGGTACTGTATTACAATATAGAAACAAAAAAAAATGGAAAGAACAGTCGGGACCAAAAAAAAGAAAAAGAGAAAAAACAATCAACGGATCAACTTTGCGCGTTCCCCGCAAATCCTAGGCCTCTCGGCACGCGTCCTCTTGCGATTGCCTCCTTCGCTCCCGGCGCGTCCCATGAATTTTACGCGGGATCGGCGATCCGATCGGAAGATAGGGGAAGGACGAGGGTGCAGTATCACTTTAGCCGTTCTCTTTTTAGTCAATTACATTTTATTCACTTCGTACAGTGCAGGAATATAATGGCTCCAATAACTTAACGTAAAAGAGCATGTACAATCCATGGATCCTTTGATGTAAATCACATCAATAATCTGTAGCTTCAAAACAGAATCGGGGTGAGTAGGTGAAATAAACAAAAACAGACAGAAAATAAACAAGATTTCCTTCTCGGCACATAAGGTAGGAAAAACAGGAATCCGATACCTTCGACAAGATTGAAGGCACAAATGGCTACTTCAAAAAAAATTATCATGCAATAAAAAAAAGTTTCTGTCAAATCGCTTGCAACGATGCAAAAAAAAGAAACAAGGAGAATCTTGCATAAAACAAAAAGGAGAACAGAAAAAAAAGATTATTAATAACGACGGCATTTTTAAAGAGATGGCCGACGCCGTGTCAGATAAACGTGCCCTAGCACAGCCAAACATACAAAAAAAAAAAAAAATGAAAAAATGGACGAAGAATCTCTTAACGGAAAGCGCGGCAAGAACCCGGAGGCCCATCTTTTCGACGCGCTGGTTCTGGGTCGCGATGCCCTCTGCTCGGAATGTAGGGAACTTTCGCCATCCACTCGATTTTGCAAGTCGGGCACGACGATGACTCCGGAGTGTCCGCACCGATAGCAAAATCCTTGTCGGCGCAGCTTTGGGCAGCGATGGACGAAGTGATCCGGGGAGCCACAGTTCCAACATATCTCGCGTTCCTCTTCGCAGGCCGCTCGCTCGAAGTTAGGTTCTCGCTGATTCTCCAGCATCCTTCCGGGTGCGTCGCTCGGGTTCCGAGCGGCGATTCGGAGCTCCCCTCCCTGGTCCGTGGTTTCCATCTGAGCGCGCTCGGTTGGACTAACTCTTCGATGCCTTTCGATATCTTTTTCTCCGTGGCTTTCCATAGAGAGCAATACTCCATTTCGTGAAGAGGTCCTGCCCTACGAATAGGTATGCAGGTGGGCTGTTTTACTTGTGGGGAGCACCTAATATCCGCGATGACGGTCAGGGATTCTATTGTGCGTCGCTCTATCAGTCTCGTGGGCACCGCTTGCTGGATTTTTATCCTCTGATAAATGTCGCAATGGCGCACGCAAATCATATTGTGGAACATTCACAGCCAATAATACCGCAGCAAATTTTCTCAATGTCTAAGCGACCCATGTGAGAGGGGCCCGTGTGGTGCGCCCGAATCATCTTGCGGCGCCCCTCCCTCGGCACGTTTCCATTCGCTCATACTCGATTACTTGCTCTGCGTCCGCACGAAGTCTTTGAAAGTACAGCGTATCGTTTTCGACCTTCTACCTCGGATTTCGCTGCGTGCCGTCGCGAACGTCCTCACTCGCTCATTGTACCACTTGTCGGCCGTCATGGTAAGTTCGCCTGCCGATTCATAAATCCGCGATAGCGCGTACAGTACGTCATCGCCTTTCGGTGTTGTTCGATCGAATAATCATTCCAGTTTCTCTAGAGCTCATCTTGGTAAGCGGCCTGTCGGGTTTTTCAAATTGTGCCACCGAAGACTACTGTAATCCGTGACGATCTTAAACCGATATCCCTCCCAATACGGTCTGAACTTCTTAACCGCCTATACGATAGCCATTCTTGTTTCGTCGAATACCTCATGTTAGTCTTCGCTAAGGTTCTACTCGCGAATACGCGATAACATGTTCTTCCCCGTCGATTTTCTGGGCTAAAACTGCTCCCAATCCGACGGAACTTGCATCTGTATTATGAACGGCCGAAAAATATAATTTTATAATTATATTTTTATGACTATATATCAATTTCAGTTTACTTTAGATTACTTTTAGTTTTATTTTTTATTGTTTCTGAATGTCATAATTAATAGGACAATTATATATAAAATGATTCACCCAAATTTTTTTCAAAGTTTTCCGATCATGCTAAAATTTGTGCAAATTGTAGTCCTATCAAAACTAAAATTACACAACCAAAATAAATAAACTAGTGAACGTATCTACTGAAATTTTACCAGTAGTTTTCTGAAAACTTGTTTAAAATTATAGAAATTTGATATTTGTAGCGTCACTTCTCTGTATCGAGCCGAAAATTTTTCGAGCTACTCTCATATAAGATATAGCAATAAAATAGAAATAAGAATATTTTTAATAAGTTATTGTATTAAAAAGATTTTTATTTATTTCAGATTCTTTCTCATATCATTGGGACAACAAAATAAAACATAAAAAGTCATATTCTATATGCTTTCTCTTTTTTCTCTTTTTTTGGATTATTATAGTACACATTATTATAGTATTATAGGATTATTATAGGATTATTATAGTGTACAACTTTGCTTCCGCCGTTTTTTTCCGAAATTCGAGGCTTTATTGTAAAAAACTGGTTATACATTTATGATTCAAAGTATTGTCCATCGCTGGCCACTACTTTCTCCCATCTTTCGGGTAGCGTACGAATCCCGTGTCGAAAAAACTGGTCATCTTTTGAGGCTATCCACGAATCGATCCAATTTTTTACTTCTTCATAAGACCGGAAGTGCTGGTCAGCCAGGCCGTGTGTCATTGATCGAAACAAGTGATAGTCAGAGGGAGCAACGTCTGGAGAATACGGCGGGTGGAGTAGAACTTCCTATTTCAACGTTTCCAAATATATCTTGACCACTTTCGCAACATGGGGTCGAGCATTGTCATGCTGCAAAATCACTTTATCGTGTCTCTCGTTGTATTGCGGCCGTTTGTCTTTCAATGCTCGGCTCAAACGCATCAATTGCGTTCGATACCGATCGCCTGTGATTGTTTCAGTCGATTTTAACAGTTCATAATACATTACGCCGCGCTGGTCCCACCAAATACAGAGCATGACCTTGGACGTCAAAATCACCGTTCTTGAAACCACTCACGACACGTTCTAATAGCGGCCTCACCATAAGTATTTGAGAGCATTCGATGAGTCTCAGCCGCAGATTTCTTCATATTGAAGCAAAAAATTAAAACCTCCCGCAAATGACGAGAATTTGACTCGTAAAGTGACATTTTCAATCGAGAATAACTTTATGATGCAGACACAAATCGACTAATGTTTCTATGGGGAGTTATGTTAACAGATGCCCAAGTTTATTGTATGACATCTATGATCTATTTATTTCGATCACCACTTACCGCTAAAGGAAAGGAACCATCTACAGGAAAACAGCGGAAGCAAAGTTGTACACCT